CGGATCACTTCAAAGGACTCTTAAACAGACCACCACCTGCAACCCGTCCAGAAATACCAACAACAGCGCGCACACAACTGCAAGTTGACACCAATCCTCCAACGAGAGCTGAAGTCTTGAATGCAATCAAGCTTCTGAAAGCTGGAAAAACAGCCGGACCAGATGGAATACCTCCTGAAGCACTGAAAGCAGACCCAGAGACGACAGCAGACATGCTGACTCCATTATTGCAAAAGGTCTGGAAGGAGGGAAAGGTGCCTACTGACTGGAGGAAAGGTTACCTCGTGAAACTACCAAAGAAGGGCGACTTACGCCTCACTCTGCAAGAACTGGCGAGGAATCATGCTCCTATCGACGCCAAGTAAAATCCTGAGTCGCATCATCCTGGAGAGATTAAAGGACGCACTGGAGACAGAACTCCGACCAGAACAAGCTGGATTCAGGAAAGGCAAATCATGTACTGACCAAATTGCAACTCTACGCATCATCATCACAGAACAAAGCATGGAATGGCAATCAAACCTCTACCTCAACTTTATAGACTTTGAGAAGGCCTTCGACAGCGTTGACCGTGAAGTAATTTGGAAATTACTCGAGTACTATGGCGTACCCCAAATATTCATCAACCTTATTCAACAGCTGTGTGACAACGGCACATCTCAAGTGATCCACAACGGAAGACTCAGCGAGGCGTTTGGAGTAAACACAGGAGTCAGACAAATGTGGCTTATTATCACCAATGATATTCCTAATTGTGGTGGACTGACTGGATTATGCGTCAGACAGTGAGTGGGAAACGAGAAGACAGGAATATCCTGGACCGACGTGAAGAACCTAGAAGACCTGGATTTCGCGCGTGGATGACTTATGTTTGATGTCACACACAATCGAAGACTTACAAGCGAAAACCGACAAACTGGTCGAAGAAGCAGCCGGCGAAGACAGGACTCCAGGTAAACATAGACAAGACGGAGGTTATGAAAATAACCAACCAACAACAGCAACAACATCCAACGTCAATCACCATCAACGGGAGGGATTTGAAAGAGGTTACTTCATTCACTTATCTAGGGAGCATTGTCTCAACTACAGGAGGAGCGGACGAGGATGTCAAATCGAGCAAGAATCGGGAAGGCGAGAAACACATTCATCAGCCTGAAATCAATCTGGAAATCTTCGTCACTCACCATCACCAACAAAATTCGGATTTTCAATACAAACGTCAAGTCAGTCAGTTCTTCTATACGGATCAGAAACTTGGCGGGCGGGTCACAAAGAATATTTCCAAAAGGCTGCAGACCTTTATTAACAACTGTCTTCGCTCAATACTGAAGATCAAATGGCCGGAAAGAATCGCCAACAAGGAATTATGGGAACAAACAAAGCAAGAACCAATCGCCCAACAAATATGCAGGAAAAAGTGGAGATGGATCGGACACTCCCTGAGGAGACCGCTGGGTGACATCGCGCGCGCGTCAGGCCTGCTGGAGTGGAACCCGAAAGGGAAGCGGCGTGTGGGACGTCAGTGCAAGGGTGAAATAGAGGAGATCGTGTGAAGAGGAGTTGAAAGAATATGGATTAACATGGATGCAGGCGAAAAGTATAGCAGAAGACAGAAGAAAATGGAGACGTGCAGTTGAAGCCCTATGTTCCACTAGGAACCCAAGGGAGCAATAATAATAATAAAACGGGAACCCTGTGGTGACTAAGACCACTGCATTGCGGTCCCAGTCTAGGAACTAATTTTCGCCTTCTAGTTCGTAGCCAGTTAAATCTTTGTTGAGTGATGCACAGTCCCGAAGTGTTCCGATAACAGCAGAAATACATTTATCCGCTACATAATCTGTAGTACTACTAACAATAGTGTTACTGACAAAAACAACGGTTCTTTGCCCTTCATACATTGATGTCTTTATCAGTCGCCTCTTAAAGCATAGTGAAAAACAGTTGCAAGCAGTCACATTTATTTTCTAACTGATAGTTATTATTTAATATATTTAGTAGTACCTAAGATTGACCTGCTTCACAATCGGAAAATAACTTCCGTTCATTTTGTTCTTAACTTGAGAACAAATGAATCTGTCACTGTAATACAGCTATATCTCGATTTTCTACTGAGTGACAGTCAAAAGGACATGGGAACGGGGAATATTTGTGACACTGTAAACCTCCTACGATATGCTAAGGTGAACAGCTAAAGAAGGAGCCAAGTTCAATCTCCAACGCACTGAATAATGAAATGAAGTGATAGGAAGCATTTGTAGCTCAGGTGGACTATTTTTATTTGGTTGTTTTCTCTGTGCTAGCTGATTTAATTGTGAAGCGTAAGCTCGCAGTGAGGATTTTGTGTGGAAGGACAACGAAACCCTTGCAACTAAACTAACTAGCTCACAGAAAACGGCCGATTCGAAATGGAGTGAAGTGCCAGAAAGGATAAAATAGTTTTGAGACACACCGATGACTCACTCAGAAGAGGCCAAGGAAGAAGAAATGTCAGAATTCATTTTGGATAACCACTTCGCCATGCAGGAAGAGATAAACATAGATGGAACGTATGAAGTGAAAAGAACCCGGTTACTGAAAATGAAAGCAGAGGAGATAATCGGCTCATTATCTCAAAGGACTCTTTAACCGCCCATCACCTACGACTTATCCAGAAATACCACAGGTAGCCACAGCAACGTCTGTATAATCAATCTTCTGACGAAAGCGGAAGTCCTAAATACCGTTAAGTTACTATAGGTTGGTGGGGGAGAAGAAATATCTCTGGGTCCAGAGACCTCAGAGGACACTGTTGCTGAGAGTTTGGGGGGAAGAAAAGGTACCTATTTTGACTGCTTGTCAAAAGAGCAAAGAAAGCCAGTGGAAAACTTTATAGAAGCCGGCTCTGAGTTATACTGTAGTGTAACTGTCAGCCAACTCTCATAAACTGTCAATGTCCAGCTCTTGCTGCGCTGGACCTCACGATGTCCCCCGAAGACTTTCCGAAACAATTTGTAATAACCGACGCGAGAAACCAGAACACCGGTTGGCGACTTAAGAATCCTTTATTCTTACGCCAACATACAACCAACAATAAGACTGTTACACAAAGGTCTAAGAATAAATGTTATAACAATAAATCATGGTAATACTTCTGATGGTTTTCTGTCTCCCACCGAACGGCGAACGATGAGACGATGACGATTGTTGACGACAGCGAAAAATATGGAGGAGTTGGGTTTGAGCAAACAATCGTGAATTGATCGTTCAATCTTCAACTACACTGAAATCTTGTGTGACGTAATTAACCCGCGGATTGGTTCATATATGTTGATGTGAAAGCAGCAAATGGGAGGTCAGTGATCACTGAAAGCAGGGAACCGTCGCCCTTTGACGGTATGACTTACTATCGATGGCTATTAGTACTAAAATTGCTATGTCTCATTTTCCATTCAAACAGCCTCCCTGATATGAAACGAGACAGAACGCAAATGAAACCCTGAAGACCGAAATGTTCAATGACGGGTCTTCACAACATCAACGCAGTGAACTGCAATCTGATGCGATCCAAGTGTCTGACTAAGTCTTTTGATTATTGGTGAACGTTCCAGTGATACAATTAATTCGTTCGCATATGACCATATAACAGTGTAAGACCACTGAAGAAACAATTATGTTGCTTATCATCTTACCCCTAGGTTCCGAGTGCAACACAGGGTTTCAGCAACACATTTCCGTTTTTTTCGAACTTCTGCGCTCCTCTTAAGCTGGGCATACAATTGCCCATAATCCCTCATCTTTTGTTCATACGACCTCCTCCATATTTTCCTTGGAACCACATCCTAACCGTCCTTTCCTGTTCGGTTTCCACTCGAGCGATGAGCTGACATGCATTGTGATTTGACGGTCTTCTCAGCGTGCGCCAAGTCCACCTCCACTTCCGAATATCTGTTGGGCAGTGAATCTTTGATTTGTTCGGCCACAGATGTGCTTGTTGCCAATTCTTTCTGGCCACTGAACGTTAACTATGGAGTCGGCGAAATCTGTTTTGGGAGAAAGTCTCCAGCCCCTAGGAGGAAATACTTTTCGTGACCTTCAGGACAAGTTGCTGACTCACATCAAAGAACTGAATGACTTAACATGAGTGTTGCAAATCCAATTTTTGTTGTTTGGTCTGAATGAAGTGCAGAAGTTTTGCAAACTGATTTCATGTTGATGAAGGTTTATCTCACCTTTTCGATTCCGGCTGGCCTTCACATCTTCATCCCTTCCACCCGTGATTGAAACAATGTTTCAGTGATGGAAGTGTTATTCTTCCAAATGCAGCACTGAAAAAGATGAGTTTACTCTCGGTTTGCAAAATGATCAGCTGTCTTTTTCACGAACATGTAAGATGATTATAGTGTCAACTCCCATGTAATGTATAAATTACAATAACGCATTTCCTTGAGCTATTTATATAAAACTTGAACATAACAGATGAGATAACTCACTTGTGCTGTAATGTATAAGCTACTATCCATTCAAGAGCATTAAGTCATCATTTTATTAATAAATCTAACTCCGACGATGGTTGCTTGGAAGAGACTGTGGAAAAACATGAAGTATAACCTCAAGTGATATGTCCCTCCATACGATGTAGTTGTGGTAGATAGTTTACACACTAAGGACAAATCCTCTTGAGAACCCTACGAGATGGATACCTGTCTTTAATCTGTTCATCCAGGATAAACTCAGAAAAAGTGAAAATAACGTGAAAACTCTTTTGCCTGTCATTACGACATGCATAATCAATAGTGAAAAAGAAGATCTTAAGTAGAACTGGGTTTAGTTTTTCCTACAGGCAGGTAACATAGAGATTTTTTAAGATCATGCTAAACCACCTCATATTATTACGGATAAAGACTGATTAACGTTTTGCTTTGTGCACCTTGAGACATAAGCCTGGAGTCTAGCTCTTGAACATTTGATGGCTTTTTATCCCATATTATAAAATATACGCTACGATTGTAGGTCATGAGCGCTCTTTATTTATCTTGTGTTGCGACCTGTTTTATCGTTATACCTGGGGCATTATTATGTCGTTGTGCTGAACTTTAAGGCAGTCACCAAATAAAGTTAAGTAGACAATCAGAATAAACCTCGTATGTATTAAAGGTTTGACGGAGTTAAATTAAAAGTAGGTGTTCGAAGAAATACTTCGGTGTAATTCTGGGATTCGCTAAAAAAAGTTGCGTTTCCTTGAAAATATTTACGTCTTTTTCACCTCAAAATCCATCAGAATTCGCTTTTCGGGGAATAACTGGTCTAATGAGGGGCCCATAAGTTTAAATCGTCGGTTAACGGACAGAATGAGAAATACAGGTGCATCTCAGAACAACGTAGTTCATCGTCATATTTCTAATTTTTCAGCAATTTTCCTTAGTAATTTTATCAGTTAATCAGTGTTGGTGCTGTGGTTTTACCAAGCCCTGTTGTCTAACCCTCAACAGTATCTGCTAACCTGAATATAACCCTTAATCCTAATATAAGTCCAACTTTAAAGAGGAACTTACCCCCCCCTTCCGCATGACTACCTATATGATTTTCTAGTTCAAGTTATTTCGTGGCTACCATAGTTTATCTTCGTCACTTGTTTTGAGTACAAACATTGACGTACTGTTTCATATATGAGGAGCTGGTCAATCTTAAAGTTCACTATCTTGCTTAGCTGATAAAAATCACCGGCATGAGGATTGTAATCTCATCTTTATTCCATTGAGAACTTAAAAGAATAGAAAAAATGGTGATGTCACCCATTCTAGGTGATTTGAGGAGGACTGATGGCATGTAATAATTGATTTTATTGTAGAAATATACATACCAGTTACCTGCCCATAGTGTGCTAAATGTGACTTTCATATATAAAGAAACCGACCCTAAGTTCTGATGTCTAAGTTGCCGCAACAAACGAAACTTTTGGGTTGTGGCTACGTTTCAATTCCCTTCCTGTCTTCTAAATGTTTATTAAGATGAGTAAATAGTCACTTTGTTTCCATTCACTGAGTAAAAGCAATGCATTCATGCCGTATTCTGTGGGTTGTCTGTTCTTGGTACATTTTTTATTAGATTCCCTAATGTACGCTTGTGTTGTATTCTGTCTGTAAGTCAAATAAAAGGACGCGTTGATAGATTCAATCAACTACATATCCACTGGGACCGCATTTCCTGTATCTTTTGTCCAGTTCACTGCGTTATTTACATAGTAGCTTTGGTAATCCTTCTACAAATTGTTCCTTTGGTTGATCAGCCTGTCCAGTATTATCTCCATCACCTTAACAGTGGTGACATTAGCTGAACCTACTGGCTTATAGTGAGGTATTCGTTATATAAATGACCTTGTAAGGTTGATAATAGGTGAACTCTGGTCTTCCTCTCAAAATGCTTTCATAAGGCCACCTAGGTTTTGTTAGATCAGTCCTTTTCCTTGCCTTCGCATGCTGGGGGTATTCTTAGAAAAACGGAAGCACGAATGAGAAAATCTAGCAGTCAACACCTGTCTGGTGAACATTTATCCATGGCGCTTAGATTCCAAACTTACAATGTACAAGGTCTCCAGCATCATGAAGTGATGCCATAAGAACCTGTTTAGGATACTGACGAGCATGGCATATTTATTCTATTCACTATTTCTCTGTCTCGTCGGACTCCAAGTCAAATGCTTGAGGACTGGTCCTTTAAAACAACCATGTGATTTGGTTTTGTCATTCGGCCAGTATACCAGCCGTTACATGAAGAATACACCCCACACACCAATCACATATTCGATCATTTCATCCATTTTCAAAACCCTTGAAAGTCTTAATGTTAATATATTCTGCATGTCAGAGTCTCGTAGGTTTGTGTGAAGTGATTTGGATTACTACCACGTTTCAGCTCACGTAGTATGTAAACTCCATAAACTAGTGTCTAAACATGCCAAATATGAAACTGAGGTAGACTGAAGACAAGTTATCGAAGGTACACACGAAAACTACTTGCACTTAAACACAGTGAAGACGGTGCGTAAATCCACTTGTGACTTTGGAAAAGATTCTAATAAAATTCACTACGAGTTTCACAATGCTTCTTGACTCTTGTCTGTCCATTCCTGTTAACAGTGATCCCATGTCCAGTGCCCATACGCGTGGAATTAAACAGCGATTATATAAAAGCTACGAAGTATAGGGGTCAAAATACGATACTTGTGACTTTCAAGGTACAGTAACCTAGTAAGTGATGCTTTAAAACATTGGTCAGACTCTGGGTTCGTGTCAGTTGGAATTCTCACTGATGTAGATGCGTTGATGAGTCTGGGTCAAGCAGCAATGCACACCCTAGACTCCAATGTCAACTACCACTTTCCTTTTTCGAAATTTCTATTTTTTATGAAAGGTGATATATTTGATTGAATGTTCGCTAGCGAAATTTTACAGAAATAAAAACTATGAGTATTGTGATTCTTAAATTTCGCATATCACTATTGGCTGAAGCAGACATTTTTAAACACCTATATTTACAAATATTTAAGAGTAATCGACATTTTTATTGTTTTGTAAGCACAACTTTAAAATAATTGTCTTATCTTCTACAGGAGGACGTCAGTTAATATTGCTACGCCTAGCAAATGAAGAATGTTCAAATACCAGCATTTGATGCATTTGATGCATTAATGTTTGAAGTGATCAACTATTCTACTTCTGTTTCAAATGATGTATGTCTTCTAAATAAAATGTATACCATTTAACACTTCAAGATGCAAGATTCTAGCATTCGTTTTCTTGAATCACTTGGTGTTAATGTAAGCCAAAAATTGATTGAAAAGTTTGTTCTTCAGTTAAATTTCATAAAAAATACTCTGCGTTTAGAGCTACAAAAGATCATGCTCGATTTGTCAATGAATTAGATATTGTAAAGTATATATGCACAGAATTTTGGTCTTCAGTATACCATAAACAAGTTGATACATTGAAAACAAACTATCAGGTGAAAATGGTGAAAATTTTCTCATAACTTGAAATTTATAGGATGTTTATGTTCTGACAGTTCATGATTTTCAGCCTTTATTAAAATTTGAAATTATGCCAGAAAGTGTTACAGAAATTCCAAAAGTAAGTCTATACATCTAGCCTTTTTACTTTCTAGTATTTGGCGTTTCCTTCTGGACTTTTAAAAGGTGCTTTGCGTAGTTTAGGCTTAAATTGTGTTGTGACAGCCGACTGTGAACAACCGCCAACATGTAAGTGTAAATTTGTGTCATTTGGCTTATCACTATTTAGGTAAATTCACGGTCACAGTTCTGTCCTACAAAGAAATAATGTGATGTACAGATTCTTACTTCTTTTGAAGTAACTAATTTTATTTCTTTGTAATGTTTTCTTGTATTTTTATTTATAACGATGACTTTTAAAATTCTGTACGACTTTTGATTTCTCGATCAATAATAGCTTTATAAACGTTACTGTCGGCTTAAACTTATTTCAACCTTCAATTTGTAAACTGTGACATGTGTTTGACTGGTGGGGGTCTTTCTGTCTGTTTGGATTCAACATAGAAATTGGCACCGGAGTGCAGCACTTCGAGTTGCCACGTTCCAAATGGCACACAAAGTTTGACAAGAACATGAGTGAAGAGAATCAATGGAGTTTGACAGGTATAAGAGCGAAACAGAATGAGTAATGGTAGAAAGAAATATGAAAGAATACAGAGACTGAATACATCTGCGCCATTGACAACGATTTTGAGCCATGTCACCATTTATTGTCTCCAGCCATTGATTCCTAGAGTCCCGAGGGCCCCAACTCGGAAGTCTGCATCTCCCTACCTGACTCAGTTTAACTGTCAAGGATTTCATGGATTGATGAGGCCATGTTTTTGTTTGGCCACCACTTACTCTTTTCCAACCTGCACCTATATCAGTTAGTAATGCCCATCGTCGGGGGAGGCGATGGTTAGGCATGCGCAGCACGTGACCGACCTAGTCATCTCAATCTATGTAACTTTATAGCCTCGTCGATTGATTTTCCCTCTTTGCCCAACACTCTACGCCTAACGTCAACATTACTTACCTTATTAAACCACCTAACGTGAGACAGAGATCGCAGACATCTATGATCGAAAGCAGTCAACCTTTTCATGTCTTCAACTCGTATTGGCCATGTTTCAGAGCTATGGAGAAGGACGGAGCGAACTGCTGAGCAGTACACACGTCCCTTGGTTGATAGCCGAATGTCACGCCCACGCCAGAGATGGTGTAAGTTGGCGAAATCAGCTCGAGCTTTTTGGATCCGTGGTGAGATTTCGTCGCCAATCAGTCCGTTGTTGCTGACAGCTGATACAGCTTCCCAAATAGGTGAAGTGGTGGTTAACATGTTCTATCACTTCACTCCCTATCACTAATCTAGAAGTTGACGTAGTCCAGTTTTGTAGCAGCATCTTACATTTTACAGGGGCGAATCGCATGCCAAACATACGAAGACTGCTGCTCAAGGTGTTCGGAAGACTCTGGATTTTGTCAGCATCCTCCCCTAACAGGACTGGTGGAGGTAAATATTTTACATTGATTCTTCGTCCTGTTTGTCTGTCACTCATTATTTTCCAATGAAAAATCAAGGGGAATAGTTAAGTGATGCTATAAGGCACCATAACTACACTCGGTGTACCATACAAGAGCTCAGTGCAGCTGATATGTCTCACACGGGTGTGTCTATGGCGCTTTTTTAATATAAACTCTTAGCTTTCGATAAGTAAGTCACAGGTTTGGAAGCACATACTAAAGTTGTGACGGCCAATTAGTAACACAGACCTCAATCCATGTAACTCATAGTCTGTTTCATGCTGATTTTGAAGTTTTGTGTGGACGAATATTTCACCTTATTGCTCTCCCGACAATTCATCTCTATTAACCTCACAACATACTAATGTTTCCATGCTGTAAAATGTACGAAAACTAATTTCTTAAACGTTGTTTCTTCGATTTGATGCACTCATCCCATTAGGTAAAACATACATCGCGCACAAAACTAGTCTTTTGACACAACAATTTTTACTCTCCATATTGTCCTCCGCTAGTGAAGATTAGCGATATTTGATAGGCGTGGTAGTTTCTCATAAAGTATGTTGATTGATCGAATAAATGAATTAGAATCAATCTTATTGCTATTGTTATTATTTTGATGCATTAAAGTTTATTGTGTCGAGTATAAACGTTTCCGCATAAGTAATCATTTGACAGGAATCGTGGTTAAGATTAGGCGTGGTAAAAATATTTTGAAAGAGTTATATTTAAAGGGGATTTATTCATGCATATCGCTTGCATTCATTGTTTAAACAAGTGGACGTCAGTAACCTGTAGACTACAAAGTGAATAATGTATTAATGGATTATAGTGTATTGCATAATAACGTTTATAAATGTCGAACAGACTGATGAACAATGAATTGAGCAGGATAATATGTGATCGCAATTTTATTCGCTTGGTTTTTGTCAACTTAACAATTTTTGTATCAGTCTACAAGACATTCACGTACTTCGATTAATTAGCTAGAAAATGGCGGTGATTAATTACTTGTGCTATAATAATAATAATTATTATTATTCTTTCGGGTTCCAGGTGGAACACACGGCTTTAACAGAACATCTCCACTTTGTCGTGTTCTCTGCGATCCTTTTTAACTAGCCCCACAATTGCCCATAGTCTCTCATCTACACCTCACACGATCTCCCTCACGTCACCCTTGGACGCCTCACTCGAGGACGTAGTGAGCGATGTTATCCAACCGTCTCCTATCCACTTCCATTTTCTTCGGGATATCTATTGAAGAATAGGTTATTGATTGCTTCGTTCTCAGAGTTTCTTTTTCCTAATTCTTACTGGCCATCTGATATTCAGTATAAAGGATGGCGAAGGCAGTTTTTAATACAAGTTTGCAGCCTGTTGAGACAATTAATTATTATATTTCTAAGTACGATGAATTGAAAGGAAAGAATTACAAGTGTTAGTAAGCTTGTTTAGTAGGAGAGAAAACTATGCGCTAATTCGATTAGAGTTGTGCAAAATTAGTAGTGCATGTGTTATGCAGGAATTATACATTTGGATGGTTCAAAGATAACGAGTTAACTAGAGTTTCCCGGCCGATAACTGCTACCTTGTCGTGGTGGTCGGGCTTGAATACCGCAATGACCCAACAAGCTGAACTGACTGGGACTCTGTCTCTACAGGTCCTACCATGTCAGGAAGGTTTTCTGGATAGCGGTTAAACTAAAAGCAGTTACCATGGGGTACATGGGCTCCAGTTTCCAATCGGATCAAATGGCGTATGAACCCATATGGGTCACCGGCAACCATGGGAATGCAGCTCCTGACGCTGCTCCGCTGCCTTGCGGATTAGACTCCAAGTCAAAGGCTCGGGGGTGGTCCCTTAATAAAACCACCTGCTTCGGTCTGGGCGCCCGGGCAGTATCTCAGCCCGCACACAATGAATGAATTAAAGCAACGAACTCTCATTGAAACTCAACGCGCGCTAGTAAAAATGATTCCAAGCAATAATGATCCCTCAAGCAACTTATTTCCTTCCTACCTTACTTTTATTTTTATACATAGTTTCCTGTATTTTACCTTTGCTAACCTTGGCTTCTTAACCTTCGACAGCCTTTCGCCTTTGTCGAGATTCCCAGCCTATCCGTGTCGTTTCGAGATGTTAGTGAGTAGTCCTCAAAATGGTTGTTCCCAATGTGACATCTAACACAGATATCCTGAAACCGCGTGCTGCGTTCAAGCTGGCTACCTACAATGTTCGGACGCTGATGCAAATCGGACAACAGGCAGGGTTGGCAAGAACTTTGGAAAGCCTCGCTATCGATGTCTGCTGCATTTCGGAGACCCGCATTCAAGATCCCAGTGAAGTGCTTCGACTATCCTCTCCATCTGGAAGTTCTAGTAGTATGTACCACCTGCGCTTATCCGGGGACCCTGTGGCGTCGGCATCCGGCGTAGCTGGTGTCGGTGTCGCACTGAGCGCTAGAGCCGAAGCTGCACTGCTCGACTGGATTCCCATTAACAGTCGTTTATGTGCTGTGAGGCTGGAAGGTTATACGAAAGTAAGGAGTAGTAGGCCAGATAGGCGGTGTCTATTTGTTGTCTCTGCCTATGCACCGACGGATTGCAGCCCGGATGCAATGAAGGATGAGTTTTACTACCAACTGAGCGATCTCTTGAAACAGGCGGGTCGGAGGGATATCGTAGTGCTGGCTGGGGACTTGAATGCACAGGTCGGGCGTCTAAGCTCAGAGGAGAATCGTCTAGGTGGTCAGTGGGGACTACATGGTCGCAGGTCAGATAATGGGGACCGTCTTCTGCAGCTTTGCGCGGATCACAACCTATTTCTAGCCAGCACCAACTTCCGGCACAGCCATCGCCGTAGCGCTACCTGGCGTCCTCCCTCTGCGAAGCAAGCTTGGACTCAGATTGATCATATTGCGGTCAGTTTCCGGTGGCGAGGATGCATACAAGACTGTCGCTCCTTCTGGAGCACATGCCTGGACTCCGATCATGCGTTAGTGTGTGCCAAGTTCGTCTTGCGATTTGGTGGGGTTCGTAAAAGCCGTCGTCTAAGCGTTGATGTGAGCAAACTAGTAGCACCTGCTACTTCTTTGAAATATCAGAATGAGTTAAAAACAATGCTTGCCAGCAACCCCCCAAGTAGTATAGATGAACATTGGCTTCATGTGCAAGGTGCCATGCAAAAGGCGAGTGTAGCCGCTTGCGGCTTGAAAGAATGCTCCGCTAACAACCACTGGGTTTCTGCGAGTTCCTTGCAACTCATGGATGAACGCCGGTCCATTCCGGCTGGCAGCGAATACAACAATCAGCGAAAGGCGCTCACGCGCAAGATTAGACAGTGTTTACGTAAGGACCGCGAAGCCTGGTGGTCAGAACGTGCGTGTGAGATGGAGTCAGCTGCTGCATCTGGCAACAGTCGGAAGCTGTTCCAACTCATACGAGCCACCGGCAGCAAGAAACAAGGTGTCAGCGAGACGGTCTGTGAGGCAGATGGCACTCCAATTACCAGCCTGAAAAGACGCCTGGAACGCTGGGCAGAGCACTTCGGGAAGCAGTTCAGCTGGCCACCAGCTTCAGTGTCTACTATCATTAGCCCGAGTGCTCCTTGGTCGGTTAGTACCGACCCACCCACCGAAGCGGAGGTCCGTAAGGAACTCCAAGTTCTGAAACGCCATAAGGCGCCCGGCCCAGACAAATTACCCCCGGCTCTTTTTAAAGATGGTGGCGAGACTCTCACAATGGCTCTAACTGGGTTGTTCAGGAAGGTGTGGGAGACAGAGAGTGTACCATCAATGTGGAACGAAGCCATTATCGTCCCCATCTTTAAAAAGGGTCGACGTAATTCGTGTGACAATCATAGGGGTATCAGTCTGTTACCAGTCGCGTCTAAAATATTGGCTGCTGTCTTGCTTCGCAGACTGTGCAAAATACGTGAAGGATTGATTCGCGAAGAGCAGGCTGGGTTTCGTTCAGGTCGTGGATGCATTG